TGAATAGGATCACAAGTCCGCATCTTGTACAGCAATTAACCACTAAGAAGAATATATGCAGTGTATTATTTGTTGAAACTGTCCTTCCGATTTGATTTGAATCTTTCTTTTTGCTATCTCTTTGTCAATAAAACTTTGAAAAAAAAAATAAGAGACATATGTCAATTAAACATGAGATTATCAGTCTAATAATAGGCTTTAAAAATATAATACAAAAATAAATAAAAATCTAATACATTATATATATTATGTGTCCCTCTGTGTTATATTAAGATGGCCACTTAAGTGTGTTACAAAAGCAATATTATGATTGTCATGCTAAAATACTGTATGTGGGACCAGGGTGACAGCGCAGTGGTCTAAGCACATGTCTGGCAAGTATAAGGACCTGAGTTTGAGCCCTAATACCACATTGCAGGCCAGGGAGATGGCTCAGTAGAATAAGAGCTTGCCTGGCAAGTGCCAGGGCCTGAATTCAAACCCCAGTTCCACAAAAAAAAAAAAAAGTGTCATTCCTAGTACCACATTCCATACTGGCTGCATGTTGAGCTGGCCACTGAAACCAGGTGTGCTGACACATGTTTGTAATCCTGGTGCTAGGGAGGCTAACACAGAAGGATCACTACAAGTATGAGCTGCATAGTGAGACCCTGAACCAAATAATTAATTAATTAATTCATTAATTAAAAAATAAATATGTGGTTCTTGATCTTAAGTTTTCTCTATAAACTATATAAATATTGTCTATTAACATTCTACAGAGATTCAGCTACCAAAGCAATCACATTGATAAAATTTAACAGTCCTCTGGCTATACTTTATATTTCAAAATGCTTGATATCCAATAAAATTATAATAGTTGACCTCATTGCTCCTGCTACAATACTGTTTTCCAGGTTACAAAGGAAGAGAAGAGCCATCATGTACAGCATTTTCTATTGACCTTTTTAGACCAAAGTGCTCCTTAGATCAACAGAGAAAACGGACCTACTTCAATTAGCAGATCTACTCCCATAATGATCAAGGTCAAGCTATAATAGAAAGAACTCATTTAACCCTAAAACAACAATTGATAAAACCAAAAACAGAGAATGCAGATGGCCCTGAAACTGCAATTAGATTTGGTAATTTGCATTTTTTTAAATTTTTTAAACCCAGATCCTGAATCCTCATCATCCCCCACTGTGCTTCACTAGCAACATTGTTGTTCCTATTTAGCCGAAGGCAGTAGACCTAGCGTCCTGCGGTGTGATCTTCAGACAAGCCAGTGGTATGGCCTCAGCACACTTATGACATGGGGCAAAGGGTTTGCTTTTGTTTCCATATGTAATCTGGAAGAAAACACGCCTGAGGCTCGATGTCTGATGGATCACCAGCGCTGGCCCCTACCGCAGATAACATTCACTGGCCATGACTGCTGTCATGACTGCAGTATGCACGTCCTCTGCCCGAGCAGCAAGGTTCAGGCGTCCTTGCCTAGTCTTCCTCTTTGAGATGGGTGACCTGGATGGATCAGCCACCAGAGGGTTCTTATTCTCTAGATAGGACCCTTTGAGAGACAACAGTTTTGCCAGACCTCAAATTATTACCTTTATGGAGGATAAAACATTGATAAACTTCACTTTGCATTTTGTTGATCCACCCTGGCATATCTTTACGCTGCTTAGTATTCCTCATTCTTGCTTTACAGCAAGGTATTCTTTGAATGGCCTATATAGCAAGTTAGATGGTGGTTCTTACTCTGAGCTCAATAGCTTTATTTTTGGCAGAACCGAGGATTGAACTCAGGCCCTTGTGCTTGCCAGGGAAGTGCTTATTCCGCTGAGCCATCTCCCCGGCCCTCAATAGCCCTTTATGGAAATTATACTTATGAATTTAAAACTGACTTGCCTGCTTGCTGATAAAATCTATTCCTTCCTCACTTTTATGAAGAATAAATGGTCCAATAGGAAATTTATAGAAAGACAAGCCAGGGTAATAAAACAGATAAATTTCCATTTTTCTTTACAGACTGGGCTCCATATGGATTGTTCACTGGAGAAGGTAGAAACTGGGCTCAAATATCCTTCAATAAGTCATCAGATCATACTATCCACTTCCCCTCCAATAAAGAATACTCCTAGCTGCAAGGGGGATTAAGTCCACCCATCGGGCAGAAATAAAAATGCTGAGCCTGTTCAATATTCTCTTTGGAAATTAGCACTACCTTCTTTGAACAACGCCATATCCAGGTCCAAAGAAAGGAAGCCAATGATGGCGGAAAAGTTAAATTGACCATAACTAGGTTTAAACTTTTAGTTACTGATATTTATGTATATGATCCTCATGTACTTCTTTATAGAGATGTGATTTGGATTAAGACTTCCTTTCCATGCTTTAAATACTATTTTACCCATTTGTTCAACAGGTCAATTGTCAGCTTCTGATCGATTATCATCTCGGGCATATGCCTGGAGTATGGTTTCTAGCAAATTTATTTTTTTTATTTCCTTATTTAAAAAAATGTGGAACACTTCATGAATTTGAAAGTCATCCTTGCACATGGGTCATGCTAATCTTCTCCATATCATTTCAATTTTAGTATATTAGCTGCCAAAGTGAGCATCGTTTCCAGAAACTTTAGCAGAAGCCTGGGTGTCATTCTTCCATCTTCTTTCTGGTCCAGACATTGATCAAGTGCTTTAAACAATAGGTTGATTGAATTGATTGTTGCTGGTGCAGTGTCTCCAGTTCTCTTAATCTCCATTGTGCTATTGGATCAGTGTGGCTCAAAGCTCTTCAGCTGAAACTGCATATTTTGTTAATAATGGGACTAAAAATGATAGTAGCTGGAGAGAACAACAAGATAGAGATCATAAATTACAAGCTCAGGTCAGTGTCGTAGAGACCACTGTGTGTTGTGTGGGAAATAAATTGAAAGTCTATGATTGCCACTAGGTTGGAAATGCCACCATAACATTTCCCACATTTGCATTGCTCCTTTACCTTATAATAATTACAGATATTCTTGGAAAAATATAAACAAATATGTTGAAGGAGGTATACATCAAAGTATAACTTTGAATACAGACGCCTTAAAAAGGTATTCTTGGGCTGCGGGGATAGCTCAGCAGTCTATGTACCTGCTTGGCAAGTGCAGGGACCTGGGTTTGACTCCTGGTACTGCATGCTATGCAGGCTGGAACTTTGCACATGCTGTGCTAGCCAAGGAAACTGGGTGTGGTGGCACATGTCTGTAATCCCACTTCTGGGGGGGGCTGACACAGGAGGATCACTACAAGTCTGAGCTTCATAGTGAGATAATAAACAAATAAATAAATAAATAAATAAATAAATAAATAAATGATTTTGAATAAAAGGTGGTTTTTTCTATGTCCCAGAAAACTACCTCCTTTGATTCCAGGTACAAGAAAGGGATAAATTTACTGATGTAATTTCCCAATTTAATTCAATTTCCTGGATTTCCTATTGCAAAGTGTAATGTTTTATTTTATGTGGACAATGGAGGAATCATCTGAATGTTTCAGGTTCTTGTGCTGCTACTGCTGCTGCTGCTGCTGTTGTTGTTGTTGTTGCTGTTGTTGTTGTTGTTGTTGTTGTTGTT